TCAAATTTGGAAAATTTTAGCCAGTATTTTTTCAGTTTTTTTCTTATTCATTCTTTCTCCTCTATTTTTGAGTGGATCTTCAATTTATGTGTTTCTTAGTCTAATTTGTATTATCCCATAGGTTACCAAGACATATACATTTTTTTTTCTTTTTTTTTTCTCTGTTTCTTACTTTGGACAATTTCTACACCTTTAAGTTTTTAAGTTTATGGCCCCTTTCTTTTTGTGGTGTCTATTAGCTGTCAATCCTACCCAATTAATTTTTTAATTCGGATATTATATAAGGGTTGGTTCTTGAATTTCCTTCTAATAGTTTCCATTTCTTTACTGAGGCGTCCCTATCTAGTCATTCTGTCCGTCTCTTTCTTTAAATACACATGCTAATAGTTTTGATTGTATGGTAGGCATTATGGATGATATCCTATATAGAATCTAGATTATGTTGTCATCATTAAGGCGCTGAGTTTTTTTCTGGCAAGTGGTTAAATTATTGCCAAATCTTCTTGGTCAGATCATATTTAATTTTAGGTGTTGTTAGGGTGAGACCGTTTTGGTACTCACCCATGGCATTTCTGGGGTCTTAACTGCATACCTGAGGTATTCCGAGAGGTCCCTCCATTGTCTTAGTCAGAACTTTAATATCTGCAAGCACTCACTGCCTATGTCCAATCAGTTCTCTTTTTTCCACCATCACCCCCAGAATCCTCTCCACTAGGCTATCCTATGGGTGAACAGCCAACACTAGCTAAAAACCCTGCGAGAACTCTCTTACAGACTTCAGGGGCCTTCCCTTCAGTTTGTCTCCCTCTTCTGCAACATTTTGCTGACACTCAGTGAGACAGCCACTCTCTGTCTGGACTCCACTTCTGCACTAGTCTAGAACATGTCCCCAGACAGAAAGCCAGGGTGAATGTGGGGACTGACCTTTTGTATTTCTCTTAAGGATCACAGTCCTACACTGTCTGAAATGTAGTCCAGTGACTAAAAACAGTTGTTTTATATATTTATCCATTCTTATCATTGTTTATGGCAGGAGGGTAAGTTCATTATTAAGTACTCTGTTAGGGCCAAAATCACAAGTCTTATACAGAAGTTTTAAATCACATTTATGAAGATTTTTTAGCTATGTAGAAAAAAATGTGTGTGTGTGTATGTGTGTATGTGTACACAAATATAGGAAGAGAACTTGTAAAATTAACTGTTAATTTATTAGGATATTTAAATGACAGGTAAAACTTTTTCTCTTAAAAATTTTCTGTTATTAAAACTAATAAATATGACTTATGAAACTAAGGGTTATTGATATAGTTTTAAGCTGAAACTAGTAAACTCCATTTCTTCTTTTTACATAAGAATATTTTATTTTTTATTCGCTAGTCACCTAACATAACATAATATATATGTTAAAGTTGTCCTTATGAAAGAAAACCAATAAAACGCACTGAAGCCATAAAAAAAAGTCTTTAAATTTTGTTATATAATGAGACTTGCATGCACTGTAAATGACAAAGTCAGAAGAACATTCTACACATAGCTTACACTGGGTGCTTTGGTTTATATCTGATTATTAAAATTATAATAAGTAGCACCACATTCAGCAGAATTTTCTATAGGTAGGATCCTCAAAAACATTTGTACTCAAGGTAAACAATTGGCTTGTGTGTGTGTGTTTTAACATTCCAAAGCAAGCCAAATGCACAATTATTTAGACTGTTACAGCCATCAACTTAAAGCTAAAGCAAGGAATCATCATTTCCTTGTACCATACATATAAAGGAATAGGAAATACACAGATGTATACATACTTATGTATAACCCGAGGTCATAGGACTTATGACTGCCACAAAATTATAAAAAGTATTAATTCTACCAGCCATCTTATGGAAATTTCTTACTCAAAAATCCTATCTTTTGTTTTTGAGGTTGCTTTTTCTCAAATTCAAGTTTCAAAAAAATATTCAGTAAACTTTGTATTTTCTGTTCAGTTCTCTTTTTTTACTTTATCTTTCTTTTTAAAGAAAATACATCTTCCTTTTTATTAAAAGGATTATGGGGTTTTCCCCCAAGGAGGATGATGTAAAGTTTTAATGACCGTTGTTGTATATCTTAAATATACAATTGTTTTTATATAAATAGAGTTTTTAAAAACTTATCTCTAGTTGAAGCAACTTTATAATATTAAGTAAATTTTAAGACAGTTATCTCTTAATTCCATTATTCTAACAGAATTGTTTTTATTTCACGCAGTACATATATAACTTTATTTAGCTGTTATAATACATATGTAATTTTGGAATCTGCTGTTTTAACCTCGTGTTATATCATAAACACTTTTCCACATTGTTACATAACCTTCATATTTATCATTTTAAATGTCTACATAGTATTTCTTTGAGTTACCATAATTTTTTCATTACCCTATCACTGAGGTTGTTTCTAATTTTTTTACTGTTATATTTGGCATTCAAGTAAATATTATTGTACAGATACGTCTCTGTACCTGACTTCTCTCTTCTTTTGAATTACTTTGTTACAGTATATCCCCAGAAGTATAATTCATATGTCAAATAGTGTGAGCCACTTTTTTCCCTTGGGTGGTAGTAGTAGTTGTTGTTAATTACCTGATTATTTTCAGTTTGTTTGTTAGTTATTTGTTTCTATTCTTAAGTTCTATTGTAATTATATTTATTACTTATAAACTTGAATGATTCTTATTGCTGTCTGTTGAGTTTTGGTATACGTGAATCAGACTTTTCTAATATAAAGAACTGCCATAAAGCAGCAGGTCTGGAGGAAGTCTCATAAATACAGTAGGAACATTTTATAGGTTTCTGTGGGGATTCTGTAACTGTACAGTGGAAAATCTGTTCTGCAGTGGCTTAGGGTATAATATTACCCTCACTTAGCAGTTAAGAAAATGAAACAACATAAAGAACAGTGTAAGGAAGTTAGAGCAATTGAAGAAATAACTAAATCTGTTAAATACTCAGGAAGAAGCAAGTTGAACTAACAGTTTAAAGCAAATGCTTAAAGCTAAAGACCACATATACTCTCATTGTCTCAGAGCTTGATTCTTTACAGGGAGATGGATTGCTCTATTTTCTTTCTTCAGTGTTGTAGAAATTTATATATGAGAAGCTTGTCCCCAGCCTTAATAATACGATTCTCTCAATAAACGATTTGCTGTCTTTAATAACATTCTCTCTCTCTCTCTCTCTCTGTATATATATATACTTAATATATAAAGTATAGTTGCCAGCTCCAAGTTATATATGTGATTACTCACATATATGAAAATAAGCCAAAACAAAAATCTATTTGAATCTTATTAAAGCAAGGGATAAACCTTCTTAATGATTATTTGGGTTATAAATGATTAGGATTATTTGAAATAATTGTGGTTAAATTTTCATGTGTGAAACTCTGATTTTTACATTATTACTTGCTTCTCCCGGTGACTTCAGTATACCAGTTTTAATCCTTCTTAAAAGAAAGCAGTTTCTCACCTTTCAGCGGTATATTTATAGCCAGATCACTGGAAAACACCCTCTCACATATGACTGCATAAACATGACTTAAAATAGTACCAAGCTTATCATCATTCCACCAAAATCAACTCCTTATTCTGTCCTTGTTACCCCCAGTTTTCTTGGTACTCAGTTTTAAGACCTTGAAATCATTCTTGATTCTTCTTCTACTCCCTACATCTAGTTAATCTCCAAGACATAACAGTTTTTATCACAGTGTCTCTCTTTCCACTCTTCCTTTCTGTTTTCCATTGTTACCACCTTAGTCCTGGGACTCATTAATCCTAGATTACTGCAATAGTCTTCTGATTGCTCTCCTTTCCTCCAGTCCCTTTGCTTCACTGTGTCTTGCACACTACTAAACTGTTCACATTTGAGATCCTCTGAAATCTGACCATTAACCAGCTCCTAATTTCATTTGCAATTATCCAAGAGAATCAATCAAAATGGATTTTTTATGTTTCCTGTATAAACTGTCCATAGTCCCAGCTTCATATATGTCTCAGTTAATGTTTTATCAGTCACCATAATGATATACCTCAAGAATTTTATAGTTTACCCCTTTCTCCTCAGTTAGATAGCTATGAATGTCATATGATATTGTTAGTGGTTTTTCTTACAATGATCAATAAGCTATATGGAACTTGAATTATGGGATATGTGATTTAATTATTGTTTAGAAAAATGGTTTATTCAGGAAATTATATCATTCATTTTAGTTTTACCTACTGCAAAAAGAGAAATGCAAACTTTGGGAAAACAGAACCAAGAAAATCACCTTTTTTTTTTTTACATAAAGATGCTGCTTCTATTCCAAGAAAGACATTTTTGTGGCAGAAATAATATCTTTTCATATAGGGAAATTAAATTCTGAAACTAAAAAATACTTAATGAAAGTGCCAGATCTTAGAAAGGTGACCCTTTTATATGCTATATTAAGTAGTCTATCATTTAAATGTAAATGAACCCATTTATAGAAATTAAGGCAGCTAGTAAGAAACGTCTAAAGTTACTTTAAAAACAGGATAAGTATAAAATATTTTAAATCATGTCTCTTTGACAGCAAAGTATTAAAATATAAGTATTGTAAAAGCAGCATTCAAAAACTATTAGAGAATGCCCTGTTCATAAATTAACAAAAAGGCAAATGAATTTAGCCTTAGAGTAAACTACAGTAAACCATACCAGCACCAAATAATCTTGCACCATCTCCTGGGACATATTTTCAGCAATCATTTCCAAAGGCGGCTGGAGCTTGCAGCTCAACCACATTTAACCAAAAGAATCATAGGAGTTCCAGGGTTGTACTAGCACTATTAGAAGGAACATCTGACACAAAATATATTCATTTGACATGGATTCGTTTGTATCATGTCTTTGACTAATCTAGAATGAAAGATGCATCCCCTGCCGCCCTTTTTCTGCCTTCTTCAGTTATAAAGCATGTTTTACAGACATTTTATATTTTGATAGGGATCACATGCAATGGTCAAAAGAAGAAGAAGCAGCAGCTAGGAAAAAAGTAGAGGAAAACTCAGCCGTGCGAATCCTTCTGGAAGAGCAAGGTAGGCAATTAAATGTCATAGCTCTTGGAGCCTGGCTTTTTTTCTGTTTTACCTTCCACTGATTCAGTTTACACTTTAGTCTCTTTTCTTCCTAATTGTGTCATTGCTTTGGAGAGTCCTTAGCTTCTACCTTTGCCAAACCACTTGTTCCATTTGGGAGAATTCCCAGTTTTTCCAGTAGACTGGGATCAAAGTTAATGCAATAAATTATGTATTCACCTTGTATTTGCTCTTTTGGTAGTGATATTGTTGCTTTTTCTGAGAGAGACACACACATGAGTGGCATTTCAAACAAGATAGGAAAATACAACTTTAACTTTTTTCCTTTGCTGTGTGTATCTCACTTGTTGGGAATGCTCAGCAAATTCAAAAACTTGAGCAGAGAAAGTAAAGTCATATCAAAATGTTGCTGGGCTTCTAGGATAAACACAAAGTTTCAATAAGGATGTGAGGTACTTTTCTTGGCGGCATTGATATTTAGAGTTTAATTTAGGTAAGGACTTGCCAGCCTTCAAAATGGCTTCTAAAAAATGGAACTAAGCTTCTATAACAAAAACAGAAAATGTGTGGGTGAAGATGTAGAGAAATGGGAATCCTTATGCATTGTTGGTAGAAATGTAGAACGGTGCAACCTCTATGGAAAACAGTATGGAAACTTTTTAAAACAATAAAAATTAAACTGCCATCATATGATCTAACTACCTCACCTGGACATATAGCAAAAAAAGGAAAATCGAAAACAGGGTCTTGAAGTGATATTTGTACACCCATATTCATAGCAACACTATTCATAACAGGCAAAAGGTAGAAGCACCCCAAATGTACACCAACAAATAAATGGATAAACAAAATGTGGTATATACATACAATGAGATATTATTCAGCCTTAAAAAGAAAGGAAACCCTGTCACATGCTATAACCTAGATGAAACTTGAGGGCATTTTGTTAAGTGAAAGAAAACAGTCACAAAAAGGCAAATACTATATGTCTCCACTTACATGAGGTATCTAAAATAGTCAAATTTTAGAAACAGAAGGTAGAATGGCAGTGACCAGGGCCTAGAGAGACGGGAAACACAGAGTTGGTAAATGAGTACAGAGTTTCAGATTTGCAAGATGAAAAAGTTGTAGAGATGTTTTACAACGATGCAGATATACTTAACACTGCTGGATTGTATACTTAAAAATGGTTAAGATGGTAAATTTTATGTTATATGTTTTTTACCACAATTTTTTTAAAAAGCACACACAAAATAATTTCTCCTATGTCCTTACTACCTTACTGGGAACCCACAAATACTTTGCTGAACATCTACACTCTAGATAGGATTTTCTACCTTATTTTTCTTAAAATCATTTCTTCTTTAAAACAGCTTGGTTCTTTTTTATTTAAAAAAATAGTTTATTGAATACACACAGAAATTTACACAATTCATAAATAAATACTCACATACATTTTCCCAAATCCCACATCAAGAGACAGAATATTACTAGTAACCCAAAAACTTCTTCATGTTCCATCTCAATTACAATACTTCCCGTAACCCCTCAGACCCACGATGAGCAATCACTATTCTGGCTTCTAATACCATAGATTAGTTTTGCCAGAACAACTTGGTTCTGGTCATGATCATTCTAAGTCATTCTTATAGCAATATCAGTGTACCCATTAGATAGAGCAAGTGTTAGCAATCTGTGGCTGTGGCCCAAATCTAGCCCACTGCCTGTCTTTATAAATAAAGTTTTATTGGAACACGGGCCTACTCATTTGTTTACATATTGTCTATGGCTGCTTTGTGAACTACGTACGGTCTCTGTTGCTACCATTCAACTCCGTATTGAGTTGAATGGTAGCAACAGAGACCGTACGTAGTTTACAAAGACAACTGTCTGGCCTTTTACAGAAAAAGTTTATCAGTCCTTGAAATAGAATTTTCAGGACAGATTGATCAGCTGTCCTGAAACGTCCCAGGGAAAGATGTTTGCATTCCTCTGTGCTAACCAAGCATAGTGCAAATCACTAACCCCAGTAGTAGTTAACTATTGCTCTAGTGACTTTAGTCTATAATTGAGGCTAAAGTTTGAAGCAAAAATAGCTATGGAACTGAGCTAATGAGACAGCCCTCATTAGTTGCTCTTAACCAGGGAAGGGAACAGAGCTACCCTATCCGATCCTCTGGCATCATTTGCTCTTCCTGAGAGCTTGTTCTCTTCCTCATCCTAATCTTGAATGTGGACAAGAAAGAAGAGCACCTGGTCCACAGTGGAACCATTCTATTTTTATGAGCTCCAGCCATGCAGTCCAGAGTGGAATATGGCCAGTGAGTGTTGGGTTTGGATTTGAGGGTGCATACCAGTGGCAGTTCTGCTTACAAATCAGCCAGCATTGCATTCCTTTGCAGGAACTCTGTCACACTGTTTCTGAGGAAGTATAATTTTGCTTCTTTGCCAGCAGCTGCACAGACATATTTTCCACATTACTCAAGCTTCTGCTAGTGGCCACCTGGATGTGACAGAGACAGTCAAGCCTAAACTGAATTAAAAGTTATCAGTCATCTTAATTCGTTTCCAGGAAGTTAAAAATTATCCACGGTATTTTTCCTGATAATATGAAAAACCAAAGATTTTTTTTCACATTCTTTTGAATATTTCTGTTTGAACATAAATAGATGAGCAGTGCTGATGATGTTCCCTTAAAGTGCTCTGTATGTGGCTGTCTATTTTGGCCTATTTATGTTAACAATGAATTTGAGTGAAGCTAATGAGAAGGTTATTTTAGGGCCTTGGAAACCGCAGTAGAGGAAAATGACAGTTCCCACAGAACCATAGTGTGACTGAAATAGAAAGGTGGTGACTGGGCTCTCTCTATAGAAGCAGGAAAAGCAGGCTATAGAGAACTGATGATACTGCTTTGAAGCATTTGGTTTGCTTATTAGCATGTCCAGTCTCTTTTGAGCAAGTTTTCTGGCTGCCGTGGAGACATGGAACAAAAGATTCCATTTTAAAACTACTCAAAGTGATCAAGATTTCTGCTGGGTCCCATCTGTGTCCCCCTTGCAACACTGCTCAGTGCAGTGGACTTCATACATGTCAGGGGACAAGGAGAGGAACACACAGTGAGGGTGACCATTTTATCACACTTAAGCAAGTTTGCACAGAGCAGCAACTGAGGCTGCTATGAGGGTGGCAAAGAAAGAAAACTTTTGATTTCAGGAACTATGTTGAGTGATAGGGCATTACAATGAGAGTATATTCCTACCCAGCCATCCAGTCCAGTCTCTGCCAAGGATCATAGAGCTGCTAGTCTGCAGAAGCCCTGGCAGAGGCTTCTAATTTCATATTTAATGCCTCTGATGAATATGGGTCAAGGTGAATAGATCCATTTAAAAGCTCTACTCCCAAACTTTGTGAAAATCCAAAGGAAGCTCTGACCCAGTTCTTCTCCCAGTGTTTCTGTTAACCACCATTTCTTCTTACCTAGGTGAGCCCTAAGTCTTTAAGAGCCAGCTTTCTCCCATCACAAAATATTCTTTTTGCAGCTCATTATAGAGCAGGAGCACTGTTTATTGATCTTATCTCACTTATTTTAATGCCACTGAGAGGAAATACTGGTTGTTCTCCCATGCTAGCCAACTCTCTAGTACATTTCTTTTGGTCTCCCTGTGTGTCAGTCTGTCCTGTCACTCCATATCCTATTCTCACCTATTGTCTCAGTTGTTAGTGAGGACTGAAGTCAGGAAACACCATCACAATTCTGAAAATAAGAACTTATCCATTACAAATAACAGTCTTTTGCTGTGGAATGGTTGACATTTCATTTCTGTGATCAAAATGTATAGTATCCAGGCTCTCATTGGCAATGTTTCTTTCAATTAGAGGTCCAGATTAATGATTTTTAATTCCACATATCCTTGGTGATTTCTTTTAAATTTTATTTTTAGTTCATATTTCTTTAAAAGCAGGTTAATTCCAAGAAATGAGAAAGCTACATTTGGCAGTTTTTGCGTTAACATGATTATATTTTATAATTTTCTAACATAATCTCCAGTGTGTTATATCTCAGCTGGTTGTTTAGAAAATGTAATGGGCTTTTAAAACTTAATAACAAAAGCAGCTGCTGTTTTTACTTTTAAATATCCTTGTAAATAACTGCCTACCTAGGATGAGTTATCTATGCCAAGCAAAATCGTGAAAGAACCCCACTATACCTTAACCACTTGAGGGTATCCTATGTGAAAAAAAAATAGAGTAGCCAAAATTTTTGTGTGCTGATGAATTTAGGGTACTTGTTTATATATCAGCTTTATTTGTTTAAAATTTCATGCAGTACTCTTAGAAATGTACTTTTCATTTCATACTTTAAGAGTTTGCATTTATTAGACAATGAACTTTATAAGTGACATGTGGAAATTTTCAACTTTGAGAGCTCAGGTATTTGCGTAATTGATATGCAAAAATAACTTTAAATTGCTTTTGGTTACACTGCAACTTAGAATAAATTTTCATAATTCATATTAATCATATCATATATGTCAGATACATAAATGGTTTAATTCATTTTCTTAGTTGTGATATTCAGTGTGATTCAGGTTGAATTTTGAATATTTAAATATGGTTAGTATGTCATATTTCTTCTTCCCTTCAGCAATACTGAATTTAATAAGTGAATAATTGAGAAGTTGCTTCATCTGGCTGTGGTTAAACAGATCACTACATCCCTTTTACTGTCATTGGCACAGGGCAATTAACTCTGAATTGGCAGCCGAGGAAAGTGAAAGGAAAAATGCTTCTGCAAGAAAAATTGATCATTAATATACCTGTTTAGAAGGTTATCTGGACACGATGAAAACAGGGCAGATTTCTCCACACTATATATATATTTTACCATTATTGACCTGAACTTGAGATGATTCAACAGTTGGTTGAAACTAAATGTTTCACTCATGGTCAGGAAAGTAGCTCTTCCAAATCCCCTGTTATCACAGATACTCTTGCAGTTCAGGAAATTAAATCATATACTGAAGGTGTTTACATTGTCTCATAACCATAACTATGAGTTTGAGTATCAATCTGCAGGATCTCAGAAGCTGTCACACATTACTGGTAACTATGGAGTTGCCAGCATTGATTGGAGATACTGCTGAAAACACAACTTTAAAAAGCATAAAAAAAAAAAGGTCCAGTCCATTAGCCTTTCCCGTAGCCCATCCTGGGTGCTGTTTCTATTTTGTTTCTATCTCACTAGCCCATGTATTCTCACAGAGCATTTTATGTTGCCATTGCTCATCGTAATTTCAGCATATAACCTTGTAGAATTTATATAATTCAAATGGAGTTTAATTAATTCTGTATTTCTGACCTGTTCCTATGAAGGTTCACTCTAATCAGCATTATTTTTACAATTTAGTTATACTGATTATAAGTCATGCTGAGGTTTTACTTTCATCTTGTTGTTTTATAATGAGAGGAAAAGTACAGAATCAGAAAAACAGATTATTTTCAGAGACATTTTGGAGGGAGTTGGTATTGATTTTGTGTTTGGGAAACAATGTAGTGTAATGGTTAAAAACATGAGCTTTAAAGTTTAATAGACTTGGTCCAGGTAGTAGCTCTTCTGGGTGACCTTAGGAAAAAATTTTATTCCCTCTGACCTTGAGTTTCTTTGTAAATTTCAATAATAATATAAGAGGTATTACTTGGATTAAATAGGAAAAAAAATCCATTTAAGGCATTTGACATAGTGCCTGGCACATAATAAACATTCAGTAAGTGTTATTATTATTTTTAATGCTGTGTTATTGGTATAATACTTTATATAATTGTTTGGGGTTTTTTTCTTAATTTTGGAGAAATATATGAAAAAGTCTTGGAAGTATATATATTAGCAGACCTTGACTATCATCTTTTAATAACAATCGGATCCTTTTTAAAGACTACATAGGCTAGGCTTGAATTTAGGTCCTTGATATATTTGATATCTTAACCAAATTCCAATCATCTCACTGCAGATTAATCTTCTTTATAAACTGTAGAAATTAAAATAATGCAGGCTCATATGACAACAGTCTAATTCAGTATTTCATAGTTTGTAGAACTGTTAATGTTTAATGTTCTCCATAAAGTCATGGGTTTAGTAGGAAAGTACGTAGACTTTTTAGAGTTTGAACAGAGGGATGCTCTAATTCAATCCCTCATCAAATTAGGAAACTATGTAGGCAAGTTGAATGAAGAATCAACTAAGTTTCTCTGTCTTTGTGTAAAATATAGATAAAACTTTACAAAAGAAAGAACTACATAATAATCAAGTTGTTACCATCACTCCAAATTTTTATCTGATTGTTATAACTGAATGTAAAATAAATTTTAGAATTGTAATCAGTGTATAGACCATTTTGTATAAATGTTTTCTCTTAAAATATTATTGTTTAAATTTTAACTTCTATGCAGAGTTACTCTGTTTTGACCTATATGGTTTGCTTGGTCATTCCGATGTTTTGAGATATTTGAGTTATTTCCCACTTTTTCCTATTATGAATAGTACTGCTCTGAATATCTTTTCTTTCATGTTACTCCCCTGCTGTCTACCATTCTTCCCCCAATTAATTCCTAGGGGAATATTTCCACAAATTAATCAAGGTATAGTATTATATTCTATTTACCGATAGGTAAAAAGTAGATTGGTATTAGAAACTCAGATACTAGAGATTAGACTAAATATAGACCTTCTTAGGTAGTTACTTTTTATTAAGCAGAAAAATCTTTTACCAGCATAGAGAGTTTTTAAGATAAAAGAAAGAAGAGAAGGTATAAGAAGACCATGAGGAAATTTGACAGTTTCCTAATTCCTTCTGAATCTGATTTTAAGAATGTTGTTTTGTTTTCTTATCCAGGATATCAGGCACACTCCAATTTTTAAAAGTAGAAATAGAAATATTTTAAAGATAAATATCCAACATTTTTAGATTAACCATAAATAGGCTTCTTTCCACTAGTGCAGATGTGAGCATGTTTTAGACTTCAATATCACGTAATTCTTTTGTTCAGAGATCTACTTTCAGTTCTCAGACCTTAAATACATATGGGAGTTTCTGTCTTTATAGTGGTCCTGCTGCCAGATACAATTCAGCCTTGATGGGAAGGAAGTCTTGTGGCCAGATGGGTGGAGATCCATGGTACAGAGGCATAAAGATAAAAATGGAAAGAAAAGAAAAACTATAAGGGCTTTAGGACAGGGCTCTGTAACACAGACAAACCTGACTATAAGCACTGCTTGTTCTGAGGGGAGGGGCTTCTTTAAAATTATGAAAGAATTGAGTTTATTTTTATTTTTAGTTTAATTTATTTTTAGTATAGATAGTAATTTCACACAGATCAAAATTCAAATGAAAATTGTTTCCCAAACCCTGGTGCCCAGCCTCTAAGCTCCCCTCTAAGCAGCCAGTATTACTAATTATGCGATTATCTTTCTAGGACTCTTCTGTACATGTAAAAGTAAATATGTGTATATACATACATGTATGTTTCACCTAACATTAAATCTTAGGGCCCTGGGACCCAGGGAAATAAGGGTTGACATCACAAAATGCATGTCTCCTTTAAAAGAGCTTCAGAAACTCTCATGTTAGGCAGTGCCAACAAGAAGAGATTGCTCTGAAGGTGAGGGAAGAATTAAGTTATGGGATGCCCCCTAGACTCCAGGAGTCAAGATATGTGGCCTGGTTCTGCTGTGATGGGGCTCTGGCACTTGGAACAATTGAGTTCATCTCTTCTGTGCTGTCTTTCTTCCAATGCAAAACAAGTGGATTGGAGTAGAGTATTTAAATGGACCATTCTGGCTCTAAGATTATATCATTTATAATTCCACAATTTCCTGTCTGATTACCAATTTGCACAGACATTGTATTGAAACTACATTTACACAGACAAAAAATGAGGTATCTTTTTTCTGAGATAATAAAGAGCTTTACAGGTTATTGATAAAAAATGATTATTACAATTCTAAGAATGGACTGTAGAAAGTAGTTTGCAATGATTATACTCCTTACAAAAACTTATCAGCCAAACAATTAAGTTAGAAGCAGCTGGACTAAATAACCCACACATTTATACATTTTGAGAGAATTAATACCCTATAGTTTTAGCCTTAAAGAGGTTAAAAAAAAAATCAGATAAATAGGAGTTAAGTTTTTTAATAGTAAATATACTTGTTATAAGTGATAAATAATGTATATTTAACATTTAACTTATATATAGTTATTAAAATGATAAATAATAGTGAATATAATTCATAGTAAAATAAACCTTTTTTTTCTCTTTTAGTTAAGTATGAGAGTGAAGCTAGGAAATATTGGGACACATTTTATAAGATTCATAAGAATAAATTTTTCAAGGATCGTAATTGGCTGTTGAGAGAATTTCCTGAAATTCTTCCAGTTGATCAAAAAAACGAAGAGAAGGCAACAGAATTATCATGGGATCATGCAAAAACTAACCCTGCAAATTGTTTTTCAAGAATGCACTGCCATGCTATGCCTGAAGAAAAAAGTCATTGTAAGAAAAGTTCTGGCTTGTCAGATAGTCAAAGCAAAGCAGGATCCAATTTTTCCAACCTAGACTCTGAAAAACACAGAAAAGGACCTCTGAAGACTGAGCTATTTCCTGGTAGCAACGCCACTTTCAGAATCCTAGAGGTACTGTACTGCAGGGGCAAAGATGGGAGGTGACTAATTATTTTAAAATGTATATTCCATGTTACTTTATTAATGAGCCACATTTTTTAGGGGGGAAATGATCAAATCTAATTAAATAACTGTTAGGTATACTTCTATGCATAAAAAAATGTTAGGGGCTCATATCTTTAATCAGTCAGGTTTTAATTTTTTTTTAATTTGTCTTTTAATTTTTTACTTGAAAGCAGTTTTAAATACCAGTAAACTTTTTGCCTTAATTTCTTTCTCTTTCTGTTATTACCCTATTTTAGTTGAAATAGAAATAACTGAGATATATAATTTCCTATAATCCGGTATGGATCTTGACTTTCTATTTTTAAAAATATTTTTTCCTTCTGATTATAAAGGTATAATATATTAATAGAATTTGCTAAAGAGTACATAAGAGAAATAAAATTATAATCTCACAAACAATGAATTTAACCACTGATAACTTTTTACTGACTTTTTCTCCTTTTGTTTAGACCGTTTTATATTATCGAGTTATACTGTACCTGTATTTGCGGGGTTTGCTTTGTTTCTGTTTAACATTAAATCATAACTTGTTTTCCCTGTTTTTAAAAATTCTCTATAAACATTTTTATGGCTGTGAAATATTTTACTATGTAGAATACTGTAATTCTACTTATCTATTTTCACACCATTGAGCATTTAATTGTTTTCAGGTTTCTACAGCAAACATCTTTGTGTATATAGAGTTTTCCACACTTTCCTTAATTATCTTAGGTTAGATTTACTAGTTCATAATTTATAACAAATTTTAATACTCTTAAGATATATTGCCATGATTGTTACCTACCATCTTTTTTAAAAATTAATTAATTTTTATGGTGACATTGGTTAATGAAATCTGGTATGTTTCAGCTGTACATTTTACCACTAAGGTATATATACATTTATATTATGTGTTCATCTCCCATAGTTAGATGTCTTTTTGTCCCCCTATATTTAACCCCTTTTACCCCATCTACCTTTCCTCTCCTCCCACCTACCTCCCCTCTCCTCCCCCACCCCGCTAGTAACCACTACTCTATCGTCCTCTGGTAATTACTAGCCTATAGTCCATGTCCATGAGTCTCTTTGTTTGTCTTGCTCATTTGTTGCTTTTAGGTTTATATCCCACATATAAATGATATCATGTGATTTTGCCAAATTGTTTTCTAAGAAGTGGTACTAATACCAGTTCACAGCAGTGCATATCTGTTTCATCACACCCTCATTGATTGGAATATTTTTATTTTAGTATTTTCCACTTTATTAAAAATTATACCTTGTTTTAATTTGTGTTTCTTTGATTATTAAATAGGTCACATAGTTTTAAAATGTTAGAAGCCATTTGTACATCTTTTGTGTTCTATTTATTTTCTTATTTAGCTATAATTTTTTTTTCTTTAATGAGTTCTGCCTTTTTATCATATTTATTGCAAATTTTTTTTTCACAGAATGTTGGGCACCTTTTAATTCAGTTTATTTTGGGTTTTGGTGTGTAAAAATTTTAAATGTTTCCATAGTCAAATTTCTCAGTATAAATCTTGTGATTTATTTCATTGCTTTTGAGTTTTAAAAATTCTCCTATACATACCAGAGATACAGTAAATTTCTTTTTATAGTAAGGAAAATTTAACCTTGTTTTCATGATATTTGTTTGTTCTTTTGATTTTAGGTTGGCTGTGGTGCTGGAAATAGTGTTTTTCCAATTCTGAACACTTTGCAGTGAGTTTTAGAGTTTTCTTCTACAAAATTTTATATATGTATGGGATGTTGAGAAGTTCTGGAAAAATGTTGTTATATATATGACAGTAGTGTGTTCTTGTTCCCATGTAAACAATGACTAAGACAAGTTTCAAAAGTAGTGTCTTAGTCTTAGTGCCCAATTTAAAGTGAACTGGGACTTACTCTGAAAACAATGTTTCACAGCCATGGGTTGTCCACCACAGACTGAAGTATTTTTTTACACTCGTGTGTGTGCATGGATGAGATAATAAAACAAAAAAAAAGAGCAAGAGATTTGATCCTTCCTCTAGCTGTGAATTGCTAAACTTTAGATATTTAATTTGCTCCTCAAAGACAAGCAAGTGTCATTTTACACATAGAGAATTGAATTTAAAGGTTATACTTTAACCCTTATTTTATTTTGTCATCACTTCTAGAGCCATATCCAAGATAAAACCATCAGATGTCAAATTATTGTCTCTAGACTTGGAATTGTTTGGAGGTAATAGCAGCTAACCCTAAAACTCAAAAAAGCAAAAGTAAAGGATAGGGACAGAGATGTTCTCCTGACTTATTCCTATTGTCCACCACCTCACGTATATGTATTAGTATTTCCATGATGAAGACACACCTTACAAAACTTTTCTAACACCATTTACCTATGGCTAGTCTGTCAAGTTTGTTATTTGTTGTTGTTGTAGTTTGTTTACCTAATAGCTTTCATATTATTTTTCCATTACAAAATCAACATAAACACATTCTAGAACATTTCCATTATAGGAAAAGGGGAGGAAAATCACCCATCATCCCCATTATCCTAACATAGCTGCTGACAGAATTTTTATTATAATTCCTTTCAATCTTTTCTCTATGCATATTTTTAAATTTAACAATACTATTTCATAACTTTAGTTATGAAAATGTGAAAGCATTCAGAAAAATAAAGAGTATTACACAGCAAATCCCCATATACCCATCACCTCAATTCAAAAATTATTAACATAATGCCAACATCATGACATTTTATCTTTAAATATGACATGTCTTATGACGTATCTCAAAAAATTCAAGACATTCTTTAATACTATTATAAACATAATATAATGAATAGTAAGTAATTCCCTGATAACATCAAATAACCAATTAAAGTGGACAGGCAGAAGTGATGCTGGCAAATTTGCAGTTTTGAATGGCCTTTCTCTTTTTGTTCTTATTTTCTTCATTTTCCCTTTTTCAATTTCTAGGCTGAAATTGCCTGTTCTTTTATAGCATATAACCAGGTTCCTTCATCCCAGTGATTTCCAAGCTTATAATACACATAAGTCTACTACATTGACATTTGATTATGTGGTACTTTAGGCTCAGCTCAAGGTATTATTTAGCATGTCATTTCCTATGTCTTGTCTCTCCAGCCACTTTTTATATTCCTTGAGGCTGACAACATGTTTTACCCTAATCTGATTTTTCAGATATCCTAACCATACAATATAGATAGGTAGAGCTCAGTACATATTGACTGATTAATATCTGATTCCCCACTTGTTAGTTGTATTTTTCCCTCTCTACTTCTCCCTCCAACTAATAATTGCAAGCTCTTGCCTCCTCATTCCTTGGCTCTTCTTTGCCGTGTCTTCTTTTTTGCTTCATATCCATATTTTAGAAATCATTGCAGCTTAATAACTTGAGATAATTAATTCATCTTTAAAAGGCAACCAGTGATTAACCTTCCAAAGAAAGGATTAGACTTTTTTCCCCACCTAAGAAATTATGTTTTATTACTTTTAGAGAGTACAGGATTAATGTTTTACATTTTCAGAATATTTTACCATTATTAGACCTCCAGAATTGAGAAGTCCTATCGTTCTCCAAGGATCATTTAATTGTTAAACCCTCTGCCAAGAGAGTGCTTGGTGGTGTGGTCATGGTAGTGATATTTACACCTGCTCACTGGGAGAAGAGCCAAGGCAGTCAGCTGATTTTATAGAAAAACTCTGGAAAGGCATTGAGTGGTCACAAGACTTTGACGTGGGCTACTGATGCAGTAGGAATTCAGTCTCAGAGGTTATGCTGCCACTCTGGTAAGACATGTGGCAAATGGCCCATGATTTCCTTTAGCTACTAGACTGTTCTGTGTCTTGTGGGTGTTTAGTAACCACTACCCAAAGATAGACTGCATACTTTTCATAATGAGCTAGATGTGCCAATGTCCAGAGAAGCATTTTGAGTTCAATGGAAGTTTTCATAGAACTTTATTAAGTTCTTAAGTTTTTAAGTTCCTGAAAGGTAGAGGCAGATCTTCCTTTAATAATGTGATAAATCATTAAGAATAAAAGCAACAGCAACAATATAATAATAATGACAAACATTTATTTGTTTCTTACTCTGAGTTAGACACCTTTCTAGAAACTTTTTTTATATAAATCCATTCAGTCCTCACAGCCACCTTATATGCCATGTTTGTTTATGTTTTAAAGATGAGGAAACAAACTTACAGAAAGATTAAGTAACTATTCCAAGGTCATACAACTTAATGGTAGAGCCAGGATTCAAATTTTAGGCAGTCTGGTTCCAGAGCCCTTGCGCTTAGCCATCATATCGCATAGTGCTATATACATCCGAGTGTTTATTGAGAATATTTCAAACAATTGTGACAATCCATCAAATTACGAGTCACAAATATATGGATTTCATAGAAAATAATAAGGATAGGTGCTGCAATAAAGCACTGTTTTTGTATGAGACAGATGAGAAAAAACAAGCAGTGCAAGTTTTCACTCTGATTCAGTACTGGTTAACTTTTCATAACCAAGTTCTGTTCCTCATACTTCAACTTATTTGGACAGATCTTAAGTCATATGTCAATCCTTAGTGCCACAGAATGAATGTGTTGTACAGTATTGATCAATGAGTAGCATTAAGAGTGTAATCTGAGCCTGGGTGAGATTTTGCTAATTGCATATTTGTGCTTGTATTCCATATTTATTTAGAAATCTTACTTTTTTTAAATGCCTCCTGATCAAATTAGAAGTTCTAATTATGTGCTTCACCTCCCACCTGGATATCCTACCACATACCAGTTTCAGCTCTTGGGATCAACTCCACTTCTCATCCTTGGTGTGAGACTCCCACCTCTAAACCTTTATACCACTTCCCCTTCTCCTCACCTTCTCCTTCCCCTTCTCCTCATCCTCCTACTTCAAAATTCTTAAGACTTACAAGACTCTGAGCAGCTGCCCTATCCACATTCCTATAGTAATTGTATAAAACCAACCATGCCTCCAACTAGGCTATAAAATCCGCAAAAGCCAGGACCATACTTATAATTACTGTTTAATGACATACTGATCTCTTTTTGTGGTTCAGACATGGTACTAAGCAACATGATGCAAGAATTATTTGATACCAGCATACGAGGGATGATCAAGAAGGATAAAGTATATGCCTGCCCATTAATAACCATGGTCCAACCATTGTTCCTGAATTTCAGATAAAGGCCAAACAGAACCTGTGTAAGTTCAGTGGAGGCCCACTAAAATTAGTCAAAATTTTCGTATGGATAAACATCCTCACCCAACCCTGGAAAAAAAAAAAATGCTGAATTTAATTTATTTACATCTTGTAAATAAAGCAACTAAGTTTAGTCAAATTCACCGAGTTAAGAAGTAGCAAATCTAGGATTTAAACGCAGGTCTATTTGGCTCCAAAATTCATACCCTTGCTTTTTTATTACATAATTTCATTTACTACTTTGTATTCTAATGCTTGGCACATATATGAGGCTCAATAAAAGTTTGACAATAACTTGAAAAGATAGGTAAGAATTAACATATTAGTGTTTTATTCTTTAGAAGTTGTATTTACGTGCTGTTATATGTATATATGTTTTTCTGCCCTATCAGGGCTCCAGGGGCCCAGGAGCCAAATGAGTTGTACACACAGGAAGAGGAATGAAGCACCAAGGGACACAGGGGTCTGAGGATCTTTGGAGAAGAGTAGCTAAG